TGACTAACATACTTATGTGTATTTAAAAAAAAGAGTTACAAAAAAAAGAGAGAGAGCTCTATGAAAATTACAATAATGTAACCCATAGTATTTCGTTACTCGTGCGAAGTTTGGGTGGATTGCTAGTAATAAGTATAAGTACAAAACAACTGTTTTTAAAATTCTGTCACTTGTAGAAAACTACATTATCACTACTATATTACTGTATTTTATTTAAGTATATATATTCATATATATATACATATATATATGAATATATATATGAACGAAGACGGGACACATTGCTAGTTTATTATAAATGACTTAATTTTATTTCAAATCAAATTGCCCGAAATGTAGCATAAATCAATACGCCGTAAACCAAAAGGTAATAACCGTAAAGAAATTGGTTCAAATTTTAAACAGATCATTACGTGAACGCTATATTTGGCATTGAGTTCGAGGAAATTCCAAACTTATTTTCCCAATCAAAAGTTTAAACTGGAACAATTATTGAAATTATTTATAAAGTGATCGGAATTCAATACCTTCCTTATCTATTTATAATTTGTTAATTTATCTTAAATGGAGTAACAATTAACTCGAAAACGAGACGTTACAAAGTTGCAAAATGCAAATTATATGAAAAGGTAAGCCACGAGACTGAAAAATAACTATTTTCACATTGAATGAACGTAATTAATTAATAGTACAATGTTTAAAGACAAGATTTGAATAATTCTACCTTCTTCTTTCCTTATTCGTTGACATTTGGGTAGTCTTTTTAAATATAATGCCTTCTTCTTTTCCTCAATGGCAATCGGTTGCCAGTTTTACAATCATTTTTGCCAGCGTTATGTATAATATAAGAGGCTTGTAACTTGAAAATAATTATTTTTCTGGAAGTAATATTGAAAGAACACCACAATCATAACAAATAATTACACATTGTGCCATCGCGTATTTATGTATACTCAAATTACAGCTTTTCGATTTAAATGTTCACAGTTCCCGCCATTTTTCAAATTCCCTACAAATAGTAAGCTATTCCCTACAATGTAATGTCACAGAGTATACAATAACTCCCATAATCACCCAAAAAAATATGTTTTTACGTATTTTTTTGAAAATATGTAAGTAATACTCAATAAATTATGTTAAGAGTCAGTACTGCCTTAATATCGACGAAAGTTAGAATAAATCTATGCCAGCATCTAGAGTTGTCAACATAATAAATGAAAGAATATTCAAAACTATTTATAATATGCTTCTATTTTAAATATCAATATAGATAAGAATTATAAAAGACTTACCTATTTTATAAGGTAAAATGTTTGAATTCCGTAAACTGGTTACATAGAAATCACATGAACGCTTTTTTGTTACGAAGTGATCTCTCAAATTAGCACCATTTTCTTCCAGTGATTATCAACTAAATTAATAATCCACAAAGTATTAAATAACGTTTTTATGAAATATTTAGCACAAAAACAATACCCTTTAAATAAATGTGGACCTATATTTTTTAATTTATAAGCATTGATTTTTTATTGTCAATTAGCAAGACAGCGACAAAATTTGCATAACAATGTAGCCCAAGCTTATATCATGAAATATACGGAAGAGATACGGACTTAGAAAAAACAGAAATGTTGTTCTTTGTGGAAGTCATTGATGAAATTCTATGTATTTTAGCCCGCAAACTTTCTTCAAACAAAAACAGCGCCATCTAGTATCGAGTTCTGTAATTATCTCTTTGTTTATGGATTTGAAGTAAGACCGCCACGCATGCAATGAATATGAGGCGACGACAATCACTGTCAAACGTGTTCACTATTACTCTGAAATGAAAAGTAAAAAAATATAAAAAGAAATTACACCAGAGATAATAAATTAGGAATTTGTTGATTTTCATACAATATTGTACTCCGCTGTAGCTGGTTAATAATAATTTTTGAAACAAAACTACCACTTTCTGTTTTAAATAAGGAGTAATTTTTTTTTCTATTTGAAGTACAACCGCAGACTGCTTTCTGAGTGGGCGTAGTATTTAGTTTTTTTTTTTTTACTAATAATTTTCTAACTTGCAGAGTCATAGTATTTTGCCTACCCTTTTGTAAGAAAGATATATGAGGAAAAAAATAAGATTTTTAAGAAGAAACTTCTTACTCGTAAAATGACAAGATGCTAATTTGTGTTTTAAGATTCTCTTGTTTGGTTCCATCTATAAACTTGCTACTCTGTGACTAGAAATATACAAAAATTCGAATTAACAAAACTCAAATATCCACATGTTCCTCTCGGTTGCTGTGCACATCCTTAAGTGCCAAGATATGAGCATGGATAGATATATGTGATATCAAAACAGATCGATATAGTGAAGGTTTGATGGCTTTGTCTTAGATATCCCAGTAGATACACTAGAGGATTACTCGTATGTTATATGTATGTGGTATGTACCTATATCTTGTTACATGATATCGTCGGTCAATCTCGACATCATGAGATATTAATCCTTAGTTGAATAGTCTGACAAAACTGTCAAATTGTTAAAATATCCATCTATCTTCAAGCTATATCACTTGTGAGGTTGAATGAAAGAAACAAGTCCGAAAAGACCTTTTTTTTAATGGGTGAAAATGGAATGGTAGCTCTACCCGCGCTATCGGTATACATCGACGAAGCACCAGTGGAAGATGATAGGTAAGAATTAATGCAGACTAGTTGGCCCACCATGGACAAGAATTAACCATGCTGGTATCCAGGGGGAACCGCGTGGGGATCGACCTGAGAGGATATATTGCTAGCCAAGGGGCTATTAGACCTTATTACTAACAATCCCTTCCCCCCTCTGAAAATACCTTAAAGAAATACATAACAACTAAAATAAACCATAAACAAAATTAAACTTCTGTATTACGCCCCAATATTCTAATATTGTCAAGCTTACATTAAGCGGTGGCGAAAATATATTTTTTATGTAGATTTTTTACTTTGCAAATAAGTCTTCGAATTTTATTGAAAAATAGTAATCAACCTTTTTTTTTAAAGTTAACCAGTTTATTATTATTACCTTCGTGTACAATATTGTATATCTTATATATGTGTCAATATATTTTTATTTATATATATTTATTTGTTTATATATGTAAAATTTTGTATGTATCACTAATACCGCATTCAAGTACACTTCCCTAAGGTTATCTGGGAGAGAATGCTAGCATTAAGTCCACCTTGTACACATATATGTATTACTGAATAAATAAATAAATAAAACAATTTTAAAAACCAATAATGGTCGGAAAATATATATTCTAAATTTATTTCCCTACCTATTTATTACAGACGTAAAAGATTAAAGCAAGAATGAAATTTGTTTACTTTATAAGACAGTGGCGTCCCCTACCAAGATAAATTGACAGTGATCTTCCCTATTGTAAAAAATTTACTCATTCCATAGCTAAATCGAGCGATGAAAAAGTTATTTTGTTCGATGTACATTCCACAACAAAAAATATTTAATGAAAACTTTTTTGTGCAATTTAATATGTCATAAAACACGTCAGCCTACCTAATAAAATATAAGAAATAATACAAAATGAGATATATTGTCTAAACATATCTTTAAAATTAAATATTCAGTTTGATATTACAGCCAAATCTTTGCTTTAAGGACCAAATCTTAACACATAAACATATCAGAAATTTAGTCCATAAATTTGTGATATGTTTATGTTAAGATTATCAGCATCATCATATCAGCCTTTAACTGTCTACTGCTGAACATAAGCCTTCCCGTGGGGGGGGGGGGGGGTTGCTAGTAGTTGCCATGCTTGGCAGGCGGATTGGCAACGACAATTAAGCTTTCGAGATGTTTTAAGAAGGACGTTGCTGCTCATCCCTAGTCCTCCTTTAGTCGTCACTTACGACACCCACGGTAAAGGAAGGAGTAGTTTGTTCTATGCCGGAGCTACACAAGAAATTGAGTTTAATATAAACTAATAACAAGATTATTATAAATTAAATTTATGATGGTTCATAAACACAGTAATTTCGGCTTAGAGAAATGGTGACTCAGAATCTATCCCAATATTGTATTATTTATTCAATACATTGTCCTTTGAGTTTCACAATGAAGTAAATTGATGCGACACACTTTATAGTCGATTCGCTAATTGACACCATATGAACAAGGTCGAAGCTGATACTATGTCTCTACGTTCGATTGATAATTATTTGTTACTAGCGATGCGCCCCGGCTTCAAACCGACAGACACTAAACATGGACGGGGGGAAAGGGATTGTTAGTAATGGAGACTGAGAATCCCATTGCTAGCAATATACCCAACCAGGTCGACCTCCTCGCGGTTCCCCTGGAAACTATCATGGTTAATTCCTGATGAATTCATCATAATGGGCTAACTGGCCTGTTTTCATTTTCATCTATCATCCTTCGCTGGTGCTCCGCCAGCGTATCTCGTTAGCGCAGGCGAGGTTACCATACCATTTTCACCCATAAAAAAAAGATAATATGGATATCGATCCGTTATCTATATATTGGGTTCCTCTGAACATTAATAGTGAGAGGTCATCACCCATTTCGATTTCACTCAAATCGGTCGAATATCTATTTCCAAATATGTTAAAAGTCTCCAGTAATTCAATATTATTTTTTGAATAATAGAATTTTAACATATTCGTTATTGGCCCAGTATACAGATATTGTAACTAAAATATATATTGCTATATATTATTCAATACTAACCGACACCTAATTATCCGATAAAGATAAAGACAAATTTGTGTTTAAAATTAGATTTAATAGAATTTTTTTAATACTTTGTGCTATAATTTAACATCGTATTTTTCATTTCATTACAATGACATAAAATGTGTACAAAAAAATCAATATAGCTAGAAGCAATATAAAGAGGCAATAATGGGCGGTCATATCGCTAAATAGCGACCTCTTTAGTCTGGAGAGGAACAATTAAATTGAATTATTGATTCAATAAACTTACCTTTGAATACATAAGACTCAGTGGAAGACTCATGGCTGTAGACAGTATCCAGACGAAAGCGATTTTCACTGTCACCCTTTTTCTTGTCTTGTTTCTGCCAAACCTCATCGGGTAACGCAGGGAGAGGTATCTGAAAGAAGCCATTTTATTAGTTTAATAATAATATATCCGCAAAAGAATCAAAGTGATCAAAATATACATAAATGTAGAGCTTAAAAAATTGAGAAACTAAAATGCTGGTTACATAGCCCGAAACACCAAAAACTGACAGTGGAGAAAGGTTCTCGACTGGTGGCCGTGTCAAGGCAAACTCAGTATAGTATGGAGGATATAGGTGATTCAGAACTTTTTTTAATGGATGATAACGGAATGGTAACCTCGCCTACGCTAACGGTATATGATGGCGGAGCACAGGTGACACAGTACTTGTTCTATGGAGAAGAGAAGCTTATATTCAGTTCAGTGAACACTAAATAACTAAAAAATGATATTTTATATAATATGCATATATTTTTTATATATACATATCACGCAATTACTTAAACCGAGCCTTATGAAATTCGATGTTATTGTCTATAGATTTGTATTATACTTGTATAAACCCCATCCTTAATCTATATATAAATCCTTTGGCAAAAAATGGACCTAAAATTTTTCTTTGTACTTATAAAAATATTTTATAAAGAGATTTTATGTTAATACGTTCAAATAAATAATGTAATATTTTAGTCTGAATATTTAAGAGCACTGGCCAATAAGATAAAACGTTCTACATTTGAAAAATTTAACTTTATTTTAAAAGATATTCCTTTGGATTTAAAAGAGCATTGTATGAGATTGTGCATATTGCCCTTCTAAATTATTACTCGCTGGATTTTTGCTCGCTACTTCGTTCGCGAGGATTTCAAAAGTAGTAAAACTAATAAATTAGATCACTTTTAGATGGAGTATTATGACAAAATGTACACCAAATTTTAAGTTAAACCTTCAGGAACAAAAACGTACAAACCACATCCAATTTAGTGCAGTAATATTTGCGTAATACAGGAACAAACAATATAGACAGAAAAAAATGTAAACAATATTGTTTTGGTTCTGTTTTTATCTTATTAAGGCCTTTTATATTAATTTTCGTTAAATTCATAAATATTTTTCATATATATATATATATAGTCTAGTCATAATTTTATTATATTAATAAAAATATAGTGAGAATAAAGTGTTAGTCGATCTTCGAGTGTTGGTAGTCACACACGTAGCGGAATTAAACAAAATAGTTCCAAGCATATAACCAACTCTCTATTGTTACTATTGGCATTCTCTTTATTGGTGGGACAGAGGTATCCTTGCAAACGACTTTTGTACAAAGTCGTCTGCTTATCTGAATCAATACGCAATTTTTTTTAAATGCAGAGGTTTAGATTGGGATCCAATCCTGGGATCTTCGGACAGGAGTCAAGCGCTTTCCAACTCAGCTGTGACTGCTTTAGTAATATGATACAAATTTTTATTTACCTGTCAACACTTATTGTACAAAGGTGCATGATAGAGGCCGTACACAGAAGCACGTCGAGACAAATCCAAGTCAAGCAATACACAGCGGGTAGCGGGAAATAACCTGTAACAAAAATAAATTGTTATTTATATGGAAATAATAGAATAATTCGCCGTGTAGGTCCCGGTATAGAATGGGCCACCCCTTCCTTTCCCGTGGGTGTCGTAAGAGCCGATTAAGAGAGGGCGAGGGATGAGCAGCAACGTCCTTCTTTAAACATCTCCAAAGCCTAACTGCGGTTTTCAATCTACCTGCCAAGCATGGTAACTACTGACAAAATCCGTCAAGGGAGGGGCTTATGCCAACCAGTGGACAGTTAAAAGTTGATCATCATCATGATTAATAAATTAAGTAGAATTTATTATTTTAGTCTATTGTTAGACATTCGTGCGAATAAGGGCGTTCTTTTTTATTTAAATTGAAATGTTGCCCTTTCATCTAAGTTTTTTATGCAACTTAGAACGGCAAAGAAGCTGACGGCCCACCTTATAGAAAGTGGTAACCGTCGCCTATAAACACGAATAGTACTATAGACATAACATAGTGTACTGTATCGTCTATGATACCTCTTACATATTACCATTCGTGAGAACTGAGATGTTTTGCCTCTGTACCCTGTAATTTCACTGTCATACTTCGTATATGGCTCAACTGACGATCCAATCATTTTAGCATCCGACTATTGCATAAAGTTCTCAGCCGCTAAAACTTTTGCAATATGATAAAGTGATATATTTTATGTCTATAGCCGACGGTTATCACTTTCTATTAGACGGGCTATCAACTCATTTGCCTTTGCAGTTATATAAATAAAAAATATACTTAAAAATAGTTCCATTTAGTTCAATTACATTCAACAGCTTAAACATAATTGAGCAATAAACGTCCTTATTTTATAATTAAATGCTTTTCTAGTTTTATGGTATTTTTTAATTAATACACACACACGCAAGAGCGCGCGCACGCACGCACGCACGCACGCACGCACGCACGCACGCATGCACGCACGCACGCACGCACGCACGCACGCATGCACACACACACACACACACACACACACGTGTGTGTGTGTGTGTGTGTGTGTGTGTGTGTGTGTGTGTGTATGTATATATGTATTATTTTATGCTTTTCTTATAGGATATATTTTATTTGAATTTACGTAGACAAAGTTACGTGTTTCAAAGTATAAACCCATAAAATAAACGGTGCTCTAGAAATGTCCTACAGTTCCAACGTATGGGAAAATCGAAGGAAATTCCTTTCAGAAACATTTTATATCTTCACACTTAATGGTTGGTACTTCGACATCGTATTGTCCTCTGATCGTCTCGATAGCACTTTCTTATCCCATTTCTGTGCTCCCCTTTTATTAAATAGCGTAACTAACAGCTATTCATTTTCACATGCTCATAATAATATTATTTGATTAGTAATTTTCAATCAAATATGTACATTATTAGGAAAGAAATTATCTAATAATTACTTTATTCGAGCAATCGGTTAAACCATAGTTTAACCTGCGTGAAACAGTATTTAAAGTATTATATTTGCTAAATCAGGACATAACTTGTCCGTGAATGAATTGTAGGAAACGTAAACAACTTATATGAATATATATGAATATATATGAATGTTGCGTTGGTTTGGTCATTTGGAGAGGATGGATGAAAGAAGAATTATGAAAGAGATTTATCGAGCAAGAATGAATGGAGATGTCGGTAGGGGTCGCACTAGACGGACGTATGTCGACTAAATAGGCGACGTGCTGAAGTAAAGTTTTGTTGGAGAAATCAGTTCAGGCTACAATAGGACTGATATACCTGAAGAAGGTAAAAGCCCTTAAAAAATAAAAAAAAAATAAAAATAAAAAAAAATAAAAAGAAGGGCCAAATTAAAAGTACCCGTAACCGGCGAGCGTGTACGAAAAGATTAATGAATGTGGAAGAAGCGAAAGAGGTTTGTTTGAATCGAAGCATTTGGCGTTCCATTGTTTCTGCCTACATTAATGGGAGACAGGCGTGACAGATATGTATGTATGTATGTAAACAACTTAATAAATAACAGAATAATGTAATTACTTCACAAAGTAACATAATAACAGATATAACACTTTCATCCTCTTTATCATTTTATGATCATCCCTCAGGCTCCAAATCATATTTCCAAACCAGTCTATACTGCCAACAATGATCACATTCCTTGTGAAGGTACTTCTTCACAGTACTAGGTAGTACTTATTCACATCCATTATGTACCTTTTGTGAGAACTCTCACGAAAAATCAATCCATCTGTCCATATTTACTAATTTTCGCGTTTATAATATTAATAGAATAAATAATATAAATATTAATAGAAATGTAATGTAAATATGACTCTATTTTCCGCGCTTAGCCTCTTATATGGGCCGTTGTGCGTATAATTATTTATATATATAATTTATTTCAGACTAATTAAAACAGACGAAATCTTTATTTGCATCATTGTAAGACGCAATAAAAATCAATTTTACGGGTAACGAGCTTTTAATACCTGGCGCTAAGGGCGCGACCAAAGTATACTACATACCTACCACTAAAGATCGATCATTAGTGAACTGTTTACCAAACTTCCATGTTGTTTGTAATGTTATCCTCACTGAAAAGGGGTAACACAGTTTTGGAATATTTAATGTTGTTTGGAACTATTAGTGGCATTTATTTGTAAATCAATATATTTTAAATAATAAAAAAAAAAATGTCGGCGACGCACAAGAAACACCTCTCGTGTTGCAGGTTTTCATGGATGATAGTAGCTGCTTTTCATTACTGGTTTAAATGCTCTTTGCCTCTTTAATATTTTTTTTAATGAAAATTAGAATGACAAATAAGCTGACGGCCTTCCTGATGGAAAGTGGTAAACGTCGTCAATAGACATGAACTGTATCATGGACTTAACAGAGTATAATGTTTCGTCCATGATACTCCTTTGCATTGCCATTCCTGAGGACTCAGGCGTTATGTCTCTGTACCCCAAAAATTCACTGCTATATTTCACTCTTCAGTTAGTTATTCAAATTTAATAACTGATTCTGCGACAATTGTAGTTGGTTTCTTTTTGTGGCACATAATTTTTTAAATGAAACTAACATTGGGTGTAATTAATGGTCGAGGGACAGGCAGCAGATCTCTTTTAAAATATGACCAAAGCCTAACTGAGGTAGTCAATCAACCTAATGAGCGTGGCAACTACTGGCAAACCAAATGTGGTGGAAACTTGTTCAGCAGTGGACAGTTAATAATATACGTGTATTATAATAATAATAATAAATCTTTATTTCACTATTTGTTGTAATATAGTTTGAAGTCCCTAACTCTCGAGGTAGGTATGAAAAAACCTGTATTTCAGGAGTTAGTGCCCTCTTCTATATGTTGTTGTTTTACATTTTTAGTGAAACAATATGAAACAGAGAAGTAAGAATTACAAAAACAAAAATTACAATGGAGCCCATAATTTTAGAGAAACAATAATTTATGGGTTCAGTGAAATTGTGATAAAAATGTATGCGTGTGTGTGTGTGTGAATGTAATGTTAAGTAATGTAATATTATGTTAATTAACTTTTTGTTGTAATCTAATAATATCCCGCCTGAAAAGAGGTAACACAATGGTAACTGTGACATCTCAATTAGACAGCGCTTAACTGCGGTCCAAGGGCCTCAAGATTTAATCCCAGCATAAACTCTAAATTATCAAATACGTATTGTTGTACGTTGGCTTATTGTTTAAAATTGGCTTTTGCCCACTACTTTGTTCGTGCGGATTTCAGAAGTAGGAAAAATAATAAAGAATTCTACTTCTGGATGTCGTATCAAGATAAAATACAGACTACATTTTACGTCTATTGTGGAATGCTCTCGCTCGACTGTGAGCAGAAGTAGATGGAAACACATTGCGTGGACCTCAATCGCGAAGTAGGGCCTCATCGACGGTCCAAATTTTTAAAGTATTGTTTTCATACTAATTTTGGTAATACTAATAAACTTAAATTACTTATTTTTCTTTTAACACGTTTAAAAACAGAAGATGACATATAGATATATGAGTACATAGTAAATATATGTATGTATGTATGTATATATATATATATATATATATATATATATTTACATTGACAGTATCTAAAATATTTTACGTTAAAATATTATCGGCAAAACGGACGACGATCGACGTAATTCTGAAATTGGCAATTTTTGCTAGACGTCTATTGACGTTACTGTCTCGTAAGGCGTAAATAATGTAACTAAAATAAATATATATAAGCTGTAACAGAGAAGAAAATATGAACAAAAATATTTCCGATACTTTATCAACTCCACAACTGTCATATTAATATAAATGAACAATAAATCAAACTAGACATGGTAAGGGATAAAGAGAGCTGTAACCTCGACTAAATTGCTCGCGAGATATATTTAAAACGTACCTTTTATATCCAGTTTTTGTTCGTTATTAATGGTAACTTATTAATGGTAATTAGAATATAGAATTTTTATTTAACTGAAAATGACAACAAGCTGGCGGTCCACCTGATGGAAAGTGGTAACCGTAACCCACACACTTCAACAGTTGCAAGAACATCACAGAATACACTATCATGTGAATGATACCTTTTATGCGTTGTCATTATTAATAATTAATTTGTTACGTCTTCATACTCTGTTATTTCATTATTATAACTCACCATTCATATTGAATTAAATATATATTACCAGAGTGGGACTTTGTACAAATGTCGTTTACTTGAATACCTTTATCCCATTCATGTTTCTACCGTAAAGCAGTTGTGTTTGCATGGCTGTGTTTTGGTTTGAAGGGTGGGATATGGAAGTTAATTTACAGGGTACAGAGGTACGCATGGGGGAATTACAGTGCAACAGTATACTCTGTTATGTCCATGATACTGCTCATATCCATATGCGACGGTCATCACTTTCCATCAAGTGGGCCGTCAGCTTATTTGCCATTCTAAGTTGCATAAAAAAATATTACTTTAAGACAACAAGCCCAACAACAACAACCAGTTT